TAAATTTTATCGCCCTAAAACACACTAAATTGACACATTTATCCCTAGCTCTAATTTCATTTCAACACTCTGCGTAGCCGCCCATACACCATCATCACCTTCCTAGCCTCTGTGGAAGCAAAAAAACAAGTTCCTGCTCCACTTCATCTTCTTGGACGTGATAAGTAGTAAATAGTAACTAACTAATTTACCACTTACCACATGTCTCTCACTTTCATCCTTCTTCCCGAAAAAACCATTAACTCCCTCTGATCCCCTGCTTTGCAGCTGACGCTAGCAATAGTTTCCACGGCCATCACGGCGGGCGGCGATGTGGCATTGTCGGCCTGAAGAGCAACAAGCACGCGGGGGGTGGGCAAAGGTGTGCAGCGTTTCGGACAAGTACTACAAACACTTGGGAAGCTCCATCTCCATCTCCCTTTTCGCCTCTGTTCTGCTCGTTCTCCTAGTTTTTCTCTCTGTCCTGTCCCTACACAGCAAGATCCCACTGCCTACAACGACAGTTGCCTAGTTATTAGCGTGTCTGAGTTGCTACGCAGGGTGATGATGGGGCTGAGGCTGACTACAACGATTGGGCCTCCGGTGATGTGGTCTGCTCCAATAACGATTGGATGTATGTATTTGTTTAAGGGTTTAAGTGATTAAAAGATAAAAAATAAACTAAGGACATTAGAGTAAATTTAATATAATTAAGGCGACGAATAAGGATTTTTAGGGCGACGAATAGCAATCCTTTTTTAATTTTTATTCTTCAAGCTCGCTAGAATCCTTCTTCAATTTTGTCCTTTCTCCCAAATTTAGAAATCAGAATACTAGGGGCCGACTGGAGTGGGACCTACAATCAGCCTCGTCCAGTTGACGATGATGCATTATTGATTTTTGTTTGTTTGTTTGTTTTATGGATGTATATATATTTGTGTAGTGCATGATATTATATCGTGTTATAATTCAACTAAATTATCTAATTGACCACTGATAGCAAACCTTAGTATCTTGTAGAAAATTTGTTTAGTAACTGTAACGTAAAACGTTTTACTGAGACGTTAAGCGTTAGTACTTTACTGAGACGTACGACTATTTTCCCAGGGTTAAAAAAGGTGGATGGACTAATTCAGATGGAATAACGCATAAGTATTTAGGGTTAATATATTTGTAAGAACCGGACTTTTCACAAATTAAACATCCTGATCAATCTTTTCGATCTATAATTTTGTGGCATCAATTATGTATCAAAGTTACGAAATTGGTCAAACACGAAATTTGACTGTTATCTTGGACGGTTAACGTGCCACGTCACTGCCAAGTCAGCATAGACCACTTAAAAAAGTTGGTTTTCCACCTATTACCATTTAAAAAATTTGGGACCCGACATTTTTAAATTTATTTTCCTTTTTTATTCTTTTGTTCAAAATAAAAAATGGTAATAGATGGAAAACATTAAAAAAAATTAAGTGGTATTTGCTGACTTGACAGTGATATGACTCGTTGATCGATAGTCAAAACGGTTTGACCGTCCAAAATAATGGTCAAATCTCGAATTTAACCAGTTTTGTAATTTTGATGCATAGTTGATGTCAATTTATAGATAAAAAAAATTGATGAGAATGCTTAATTTAACCTAACAAATATATTAACCCAATATTTATTCGGGTAAACTCAAACAATAATGGTAGTATGAGTATATCCGGACGAGACGGAGAGAATGGGCCCATAATTGGCCCAGGTAGTTAAGTGGGGGCCTCTCCGCGCATGTGTTGCGACGTGGCACCTTTTTCGGGTCAGATCCAAATATGAACGTTAGACTTATCAGGATAAATGCCAAAAATGTGATACCAAATCGGGGAAAGAACCAGTAGCAACTAGCATCCGGGGGAAACGGTGCCGTTCTTTCCTTTATTATTTAAAACTTCTACTATAGTAATAATGGTATTAATAATTAATTTGCTTTTTTTCTTTTTCCCAATACGCGCCTGGTCTGATCCTTCGTTTGGAAGCTATAACCGGGAGCAGCTGGTCGACACCTACCTCGTATGAAAAAATATGTACAGCTCACCAATCGCCGTGTAAATGTAAAGACTCATAATTGAAAAGTACTTGTGTAATCTTTTCAGAATATAATATATGAATAATTATTTAATAACTATAATTAAATTTTCAAATAATTTATTGATAGATAATAAAGAAATAACTACACTCTAAGTAAGCCTTTTTCAATGTATCCAACTAAACAATTATTAGCCAAATGTCGCAAATTCGATTTCGAAACTTGTTTTTAATACAACTCAAAGCTGAAAAATGTTATTTCTACACTTAGAGTTGCAACAGGTAGAATCAAAACTGGCCTCATAAGCAAATAAATCGATAGATATGAATGAGGCAATTTTATCTTCACCATTACTTGAGAATAATTCACCAATTTCTTTTTTGTAGTAAAAGGATAAATACAAAATAATATTTAAGTTTAGGGCTGAAAAAATAGACCAGACCATTAGAAAGACTGTGGTACAAACCGGATCTCACAATTTGGTCCGGACTGTTGACCGTTAAGTATGGTCTAGATTGGTCTATGGTATGTATATTTGATGTTTTGATCAATTGGTTTGGTCTGGTCGAGACTACTGTTTACCGGACCAAACCATAGATCCAGTCTACTTGTCAATACGTGTTAGCAGCCCACTCGATCACTCTCCCAACTCTCACATGACCCAAGCTCCAACCTTAATTTTGAGAATCTCGTCCCCTCCTTCATTCACAACCAAATTTCACTAGATAGTAGAGACAATCGTGTCTCCATATGACATTATGATTTTGTTTATGACGTTATGGTGAAAGTTGGGATGCTTTGACTTTGTATTTTTGTCATGTACTGAGATATAGGGTGTCAAACTTATTCATGCATGTTAGAATTTATATTTTAAGGCTAAAACATTTTTTTCTTTGCTATTGGTTCAATTTTTTGTGTGGTTGAATAAACAAATTGTTAATTTTTCGTTAAGTGTGGTTTATCTGAACAAGACCATACCGGACTAGACCGCACAAACGTGGTATGGACCATATAGTCTGTGGTCTATACTTCAGTCTCTTAATCTGGATCGTAGATCGTATATAAGATCCTATTTGGACTAGACCGCACAATTTCCGAGCCCTAATAAAGTTATCAAAAAATTCGACAGTAAATTCTGATCCAAGGGCAATGGGTTAGGGTGGATACTTGTTTTCTAGGGGTCGTTTGGATGTAGTATTTGTATGAGTTATTTGGGTTCAGATAACTCGTTTGGCAGCATCTTACTGAAATGAGTTATTTGGACAATGAGTTATTTGAAATAACTCATGGTCATGTGTTATTTTGAAATAACTCGTTTTATCACTCTGTTTTACCAAATACCACATGTCAAATACCACATTTGCATGGTTCAACCAAACGAAATACTTTATTTCAATTACCACTGAAATACCACATGAACAATAAATGAGTTATTTGACTCTACAAATACCACATTGACAAATAACCTCTCCAAACGACCCCTTAGTAACTATCGTGACAACCTACATCTAAACCCTTAATTAGCTTTTTCCATGATGGTTAGTATATAACAAAATTTAGCGTTAACCTCACCAATGACGCCTGAGGAGATCAGGAAAGTGGTCTTTAGCATGGGTAAAACCCAGGCTCCTGGACCGGATGGGTTTATAGTGGGTTTCTTTCAGAACTATTGGAGTATAGTTGGACATGATGTAACCCAAGCGGTTTTAGCCTTTTTCCACTCTAGGCGTCTACTGAGAAGTTTCTATCGTACGTGGATATCTCTAGCTCCAAAAGTTACTGAGGTGCGTACCATGAAAAATCTGCAACCTATAAGCATGTGTCAGGTCTTCTACAAAATCATCTCTAAGATTCTGGCTAACAGACTTAGTCTAGTGTTACCAACGATTATTTCCAAATCCCAGAATGGATTTGTTAAAGGGAGCCAGATTACTGACAATATACTCGTTAATCATGAAATAACACATCATCTCAAAACTACGTATTTTGGGAAAAGATCGTGGATGGCCCTGAAGCTAGATATGGAAAAGACATATGACCCATTGAGTGGCAATTTCTGTTAGAGATGATGAAGGAATTGGGTTGCCATCCTCAGTTTGTCTCCTGGATAAAGAATGTATTACAATAGTATCTTATATTCAGTAATTGTCAATGGGAATCCTTCTGAGTACTTTTGGCCGACTAGAGGACTCCGCCAAGGAGATCCTCTTTCTCCACTACTCTTTGCCATTTGCTCGGAAGGTTTCTCGGCCCTGATTAGCCAGGCCGTGTCTATGGGATTTTTGGAAGGAGTACGCGTTCGTCAATCATGCCCAATGATTCCCCATCTTTTCTTTGCGGATGATTACTTTTTATTCCTTGAAGCTTCCCCCGCCTCATGCACCACATTGGTATCCCTACTACAAGTATATGAAGGGCTCGAGTCTGTAGTTCTTTTTAGCTGGAATACTCTTCCGGCTCCTGCATTGTCGTTGGGTACCCAACTAGGCATTGGTACTATTGGAAAACAAGATGCATATCTCGGTCTCCCATCCTTACTAGCTAGGTCTAAAAGAGATGATTTTATGTCCAAAGAGGAGAAGTTTCACAAGAAGCTTGATGTTTGGAAGCAGAGGGGGATTTCAAGAGCAGGCAAAGATACTTAGATAAGAATCTCAGCAACTAACATACCTGTACACGGTATGTCTTGCTTTAAATTTCCTAAGGAAACCTATAGACGATTAAATAGGGAGGTGGCCAGATTCTGGTGGGGCTCCTCTAGCAACTCGGATCACCCTATACATTGGGTTTCTTGGAAGAGAATTTCCCAAAGCAAGTTCTAAGGAGGATTGAGTTTCAGGGATTTTGAGGCGTTAACCAAGCACTCCTAGCAAAGCAATGTTGGCGCATTTGGACAGATCCAGATTCTCCGCTTAGTCAAATCTATAAAGGTTGGTACTTTAACACTAGTACCATTTTAGAGGCTCAAATAGGATCAAATCCCTCGTGGGGTTGGCGAAGCATACTTTACGGAAGGGATCTCCTCCTAAAAGGAATGCATTGGCAAGTTGGTAATGGACATGATATTGATGCTTTTTATGACTGTTGGGTCCCATATGCTAAACGAGAGAGTCTGGGGATCAAGTTGGCCAATATTAACTCATCACTAAGAGTCTCCTTTTTCATTGAGAAAAGTATGGGGGAATGGCACATTCCGAGGTCACAATACTATTTTGATCCCTGCTCGGTCGATATAATTTGCAAAATGACCCTTCCTCTGACATCGTATCCAGATATTAGAGTATGGCATTTTACCAAAAATGGCAAGTACTCAATCAAGATAGGGTATCATCTAGCACTTGAAGGCATTCTAGCACGCAATAGAAAAACCCTGGCTCACATTATCGATCCTCCTTTGTGGAAACTGACATGGGGCATCCAAATCCCTCCTCAACTAAGATTTTTCATTTGGCAGTGCCTAAGAGTGGTCCTACCAATGACAGTAGCGCTCTGATCTCGTGTGGTTAATTGTCTAAGGGGATGTCCTGTTTGCTGGAGGAGCCGAGAGAGTATAGAACATTTGTTCTTTCATTGCCCCTTTGCAAATATGTTATGGTACTTTGTGGGATTAAGTGACATACTGGTTTCGGCCCCAACAATGAATTTTAGTGTGTGGTGGCGTCAAGTTATGCTTTCAGAGCAGTCCCAAACTCATATTCTCCAGATCGTGTGTCTCTTGTGGAGAATATGGAAACCAATAAATAAAGTGGTATTTGAAAATACCAACCCTCATGTCCGTTCGCTTGCCCGCCAATTCTCCTTTCAAGTCCGTGAAGTGCTCTCATCCCGTTTACCTGCACCGCTTGTTCAGCCTCGTGTGATTGCCTCTTCAAGCCAGCCCTTGGAATGCCCTCCTGAAGATTATCTGAAGATCAATTTTGATGTTGCTGTTCAAGCCTCTGGTTACTCGTCTGGTCTTGTGGTTCGTGGCTCGGACGATCATGTTCTGCTTGCCTCAGATTTCCATCATCCAGGGATTTCAGACCCGTACCTTGCAGAGCTCCTTGCAGCAAGGGATGCGATCTCACTTGCAGCTTCTAGAAGTCTACCTCGTGTCATCATTGAGGGAGATGCTGCTGTGGTCATCCGTCAACTTAGCCTTGGTGCAGTGGAGGATTCCGTGGGTGGTCCCATTCTTAGAGATTGTAGGCTTATCCTTGGGTCTTTGTCTCTTTTTATAGAATTTAGAGCGGTTCCGCGGACTACCAACTGGGCTGCCCATAGAATGACACGTATAGCCCTGTTGATGTCTCAGATAGAGTTAGCTTCTTTTGACTTTGTAGGTTGGTTTGTTAGCGGGGTGTGGAGGGAGTTTGAGCAGTTTTTGTTCTAACTATCTTTCTGATATTACTCGGGCAAACCCCCCCTAATTATCTATGTTTTCGCCCCATTTTTAAAAAATAACGGTCAACATTAGATTAATAGCAACTTTGGAATAAAAATATTAACACATTAGATTATTACCTATATTTATAATTTACTATCTCATTTATCTCCCCAAACTCTAAAACCCAATCTCCATCTCACCCAACAAAAAACAACAACACTTTCTCTTCTTTCCTCACCCCTCCCGCTGGCTCTCCCTCTGCTCGTCTCTCCCCTTCTACCGCCGACTCCCCTCCCCACTCTACCACCACCCATCCTTCCCTTTCCCTCCCCATCCCACCACCGCCTCACCTCACCCCACCCCTCCCCTCCCCTCCCCTCCCCATCCCATCACACCACCATACATCACCACCGTTGCCCTCCTCCTCCTCCTTCCATCTCTCTCTCTCCCTCCTCCCCTCCCCTCTCCTCGCAATCTCTCTCTCTCTCACACAAGCGGTTGAAAAAGGTGGAATAAATAAAAACACTAGATATGATTTTTTTGCATTGGTAGTGATTTTTTTTTTGTAGTGGTAGTGTTTTTTCACATTGGTATTGTTTTTTTTGGGTGAAATTGTAGTATTTTTTTTTTTGTAGTGGTAGTGTTTTTTGTGTTAGTATTGTTTTTCTCATTTTTTGGCATTGATATTGATTATTATGTAATGGTATTGATTTGCATGTATTGATTAAATCTGCAATGGTATTGGTGTTTTGTGAAATGGTAGTGTTTTTAATTCTCGAATGATATTTGTGTTTTGTGTATTAGTAGTGTTTTTTTAATGGATTGATATTGTTTTATTGTTGCAACGGTATTAGTTCGGCTGAACAAAAATAAAGAAAAGATTGAGAAAAAAAAAGAAAGACCTGATTGGAGATTGTGAAAATGAGAGAAAGAAATACTTTTTTTAATTAATATATTTTTATAACTTCCTAAGAGAAGGTAATTAATAATTTTTTTGTCATACCCAATTTGCCCTTAGTAATCACCATGATTATCACCATATACTGCAACCTTATTTCAATAAATTTGCATTGACTTGCTGGCTGCTGGTCTCAAATTAAAAAAAAAAAACGGAGAAATTACCATAAATTATTTCAACACCACGAATTTAGCGTCACCGGTTTAGACGGTAGCCGATCGAGAAACGGGGCCGCGGTTTATGCTGATTTCCCCCCTTCCCTTTCGCATTCCATTTAATAAAAATTAAAAAAAAAAAAATTTGGTCTGGTTGTTCTAGGGTGTCTCCTTCGTTTGCTTCCCTCTGCTAAAGGCCGCTTTTCCACAGTGCCGCTTTTCTTCTTTCTTTCCCCTATTATTTAGTCGCACTCTCCGTCCATTTCCAGACCTCGGCATTCCCACACATAGATAGCAGTCCTTCTTCTTCTTCTACTTTCCTCCACGTTCCTCCACCTTTGACCTTCTTATAACCTCTTTCCCCGTTATGTAATTTCTTTCGCCGGAGATTATTGTTTATTGAGGTTCTTTTCTCTCTCTCTCGAGTAGGCCCCGGACGCAGGGGAAGCAACAAACAGCTGAACCGATTCCGGCCAGCCATGGCTCTCCTGCTTCGTTCCTTTCTGCTCGGTTTGATCTGCATTGCTCTGTTTTCCAGCCGCTGCTTTGGCGCCGACCCAACGGTCTCTTACGATTACAAACTCACTTACATAACCGCCTCCCCTCTCGGCGTTCCTCAACAGGTTCCCCTTCTTCTACGATCCACCTCCCGCCGCATTGACTTCTAGTTTTTCTCGCTTCCAAATGGGGTTTTTGTTTTCGGGTTTTCTTTCTTGCTCGCGACTCTGTAGACGTCTAGTCTAGGATCTGATGGTTCAAATGGTTGGCTTTCCCCCCGATTTTATTTCACTGGGTTCTTTTTCGTTTCAATCTGTTTGTTATGTTTGAACTATGAAGAGAGTAAGGTTTAGGGATTCAATTATCTCCCCTTTCTAGACACCAGCAGATTTAGCTTCAGGGTGTTTTTAGCATTCAGAAGGATTATTTCCGGGGCTCATTTTGATTATAGTGGGTATTGCATTTGGTTCATAGTTTTGGGCTGTGTTTATCGGTTCATTAGTTGGTTTTCCAGTCCTTCTGTTCTGGCGAATAGGGTTTGTTCAGTCCGGTAAGAAGGAAGCTAATGAGTTCTTCCTTCATTTTCTTTGGCAGGTGATTGCTGTGAATGGACAGTTCCCTGGTCCAGTCCTGAATGCTACTACCAACTACAATGTCGTTGTGAATGTTATCAATGAGTTGGATGAAGGTCTCCTCATTACTTGGTATATATCCTTCTCATCCCTATGCTGCTTGTGAACTTTGAATCTATGATGACTAGTTGGTTGTTTTGGATTGGGTTTGGGAAGATTTTGATATGGAATGGCTGTGTCTGCGTGTGTTTTGAGTGTAGGCCTGGGATTCAAATGCGGCGAGATTCGTGGCAAGATGGTGTCCGGGGCACAACATGTCCAATTAGGCCAAAGAAGAATTTCACTTATAATTTCCAAGTGAAGGATCAGATTGGGAGCTACTTCTACTACCCCTCGCTGAATCTCCAAAGAGCATCTGGTGGTTTTGGCCCTGTAATTATCAACAACAGGGATGTTATTTCAATCCCTTTTGCACAGCCTGATGGCGACATTAACCTCCTCATTGGGGATTGGTACACTCAAAACCACACGGTTGGTAATTTGTTTGTTGTTTAGTTGATATATATTGATTGATGTTCTTTTGTTGTTTAGGTAGATTAAGTTTGAGGATTGTATTTGATTATTTTCTCTTTGCTGCCTGTTTTACACTGAATGCCAGGCATTGAGGACTACTCTTGATTCTGGGAATGAACTTGGAATGCCTGATGGAGTTCTAATTAATGGGAAGGGACCTTTCAAATACAACTCTAGTGTACCTGATGGTATTAAGTATGAAACCCTTAATGTCGATCCAGGTAGCTACCTTCTCATTTGCTCTTTTTCTTTGTCTTTCCACTAGAACCAAGTGGTTTGCTTCTCTCCCTATCCTGTTGCATAATCTGTTTTCTGGTTTGTAGGCAAAACTTACAGATTTCGGGTGCACAATGTGGGCACTTCAACTAGTTTGAACTTCAGAATTCAAGGTCACAATCTGCTTCTGGTGGAGACAGAGGGACGTTATACATCACAACAGAACTACACCAGCTTTGATATCCATGTTGGCCAGTCTTACTCATTCTTGGTCACCATGGATCAGAACGCAACCAGTGACTACTATGTTGTGGCAAGCGCCCGATATGTGAATGAAACAGTTTGGCAGAGAGTCACTGGTGTTGCCATCTTGCACTACTCCAATTCCCAGGGACCAGCCGCTGGTCCTCTGCCTGAGGCACCAAACGATATCTACAACCAGTGGTCTGCCCTGAACCAGGCAAAAACTATCAGGTTTGTGCTTTAAACGCAACTCATTTCATATGCTTCTTATGTATGAAACCTTTTCCCCCTGACTCTTTCTCTTCCCATTTAATTTTGGCTAGGCAAAATACATCTGCAAGTGGGGCTAGGCCAAATCCACAGGGCTCATTTCACTATGGCCAGATCAATATTACCAACACATACATTTTGAGGAGCTTGCCACCGGTTTCAATCAATGGGAAAATGCGCGCAACTCTAAATGGAATATCGTTTCGAAATCCGGATACACCAATCAGGCTTGCTGATGTTCACAAGGTGAAGGGAGCGTACAAGCTTGATTTCCCCAGTCAGCCGATGAACAGACCTCCTGTGGTGGACACATCTGTCCTAAATGCTACATACAAGGGGTTCGTCGAGATCATACTGCAGAATAATGACACCAGGTTGCAGAGCTTTCACATGGATGGTTACTCATTTTTTGTTGTCGGGTGAGTAAAACGTCTCTCTCGCGCTGCCACTGTCAAATTTCCCTCCACTTGAAAAGTTTGAAACTTTGCGCTAATTCTATCGAGTGGGATTACTGCAGGATGGACTGGGGAATCTGGTCTGAGAGCAACAGGAACGGATATAACAACTGGGATGCCATTTCTCGCTCCACGGTTGAGGTTGACTTGCTTGCTTCTCAACCCATTAAGGAACCCTGATTTCCATTGAAGTGTGAAGTCATTTGGTGTTTGAAAGGTCTCTATATGATGTTTGATCTAATTAATCAATGTGGCGCAGGTGCATCCTGGAGCGTGGACCGCCGTCCTAGCATCCCTCGACAATGCGGGTGTATGGAACCTGAGAGTGGAGAATCTCGACAGGTGGTATCTCGGTCAAGAGACATACATGAAAATAGTCAACCCCGAGGAGAATGGTGAAACTGAGTTTGCTCCACCCGACAATGTAGTGTTCTGTGGCCAGCTTCAGAACCTGGAGAAGTAAATGTCTCTCTGCCCTCTCGGTTTCTTCAGTCATGGTATCTCTCTCCAGTCATCAAACCAAATTGTCTTGACCACTTTTACTTGTGTGTGTGTGTTGTTGTACAGGGACAAGAAGTCCAATGCAGGAGGGTCGACAATGGCGAGGAGATCGAACGTGTTGGTCAGTCTGGCGATGGCGCTTTCTGCTGTCTTCTTCTACTGCATTTTGGTCTGAAACATTTTTATACAAAGTGTGAGTGGAAAGAAACAAAGAGATAACACAAAAGGTCTAATTTTTATGAGGGAATTGTTAGTGGCTATTGATCCTGTTGATTTAACTGTGTAGTCTCTTCTAAATGTTCTTGTTTTGTTTATAGAGGTGGTTCTTCTCAGTTCTCACTTTGTTAGTGCTAAATGTTAACCACAGCATTCAAAATCAATCCGTTCCCCTTAGTTTCCTTTTTTCTAAATATATATATCTATATTGTCGTCGTATTTATTAATTATCATGTTTTGCTCCTCCATTTCGGGGTCGTTGTCTCATTGTCTGGTCCTCCATTAATGGCCGTTGACTATCCTAATAATGATCCGAGTGTCTCTCGCTGTCTCTACCTTTGCAATCATTCGGTTCGATGCACGTTGATGTGGGCCTCCGAGCGGCCCATTGGACTGCCCCAACTGTGTGGCGGAACTAGGAGATCAGAAGCCCGAATGTTTCATACGGGCTGGGCTGAAGTTGACTTGTGGGATGCGAATGGTCCATTGCCAGTGTTGGTCCAGGCCGAAATGATGAGCAGGCGCGGGACCCAGAAAAATACGGCGAACATCATCAAGAGAATTAATCAAACATGGGGAAATCAAATATTTGTTGATACACCCACATCATTAAAATCAACGACAAAAAGGACAACATTAAAATTTTTCAGACAATTTTCTCGTTATCATTCGAAGAAAGAAGAGGAAATTAACAAACCCTAATTATTGAGTCACATAAGCATGCATGCCTGCCGGCTTCTTTTTCCAGTGCAAGAGCGTGAAGCCCCTCCCTTTTGACTATGAAGCAGCATTGCACTACACTGTGACAACTGCATGCTGCTGTCTCCTTTGGTAGTCATATGATGACGGAATTTGGAGACTGCCCAGATAAGAGCAGACCAAAAAGAAAGATGCAGATGTACCCTAAACCAAAACAACACATATATATATATATATATGTTAAAAAACTCTAAACACTTTTGGTCTATTTAAGGGCAAGGTGATCGATCATCAGCTAGAAATTAAGGAACAATGGTGGCAGTTTTGGCTGCCAAGAGCTTTCCCTCGTCTCGTTGCATTCAGCTACCTAGCTTATTGGTCGTACTACTGCATAATGTGTACGTGGGTTTTGTGGATCTCTGCTTCAACCATTGCATAAGCGTAAGTATGTACATATCCCCCATATTTCCTTTCACTTCCTTATTCTTAGCTTGTCACTTGGAGATTTCCATTTGCAATGGACGTGGTAATGGCGGCTTAACCATGATGGGTTAAGATCGATGTAGTCCTGATCGATTGATGCCTCACTATACAAAAAACATCATTTTTGCTTGCCGCCCATCTCTTGCTTCTCTATGATCAGATGGCGTTTCTGTACCTTAATTGGTAGCAAAGGAAAGTTAACTCGGGTCATCATGGACCAAACTATATATATATCTTCTCCTAGCTACTATATCATCTACACAGCTAAGCACGGGGCAGTTGCTGATTCATTAACCGGTCCTCATTCAGGCTGTCATTCTCATGTTTGGGGAAGTGGGGGAGATGACGGGTTTGGGTTGGGTAAAAGTGAAAGTCTCTCCTTCAACTGAATGTCCTTCAACAAATTGCCCTGTAGCTTTTCTTCTCTTTATAGTTATGCGGTATAAGATTCATTATTAATTTTTTCTTCTTCTTCTTCAGTAAATCGAGTTATTCGGATCAATTAGTTTATGAAATGGTATTAGAGCCTTCTGTGATAGAGATGTCTTCTGTTCGAATGTCTCGATCGATGACCTTATTTTTGAACTGTACGCAAATTTCAAACTCGTACAAGTAGCTAGCTTGAGTTTGAGGGAGCGTGTTAGTAAATGGCCTGAGATATGTAATTAACTTCCTCCCAACAAGTTAAGAGTTATTGTGATCAAAATTCAAATGGTTCTTGTCACTTGTATTAGAGCTTTCTGTGATCGAGAGGTATTCGGGTTTCGAATCCATTAATTACTAAGAACTTGGTGTCTGATGTATGTGCAAGCTTCAAGCTACTATGAGTGGCTTGCATTAGAGAAGAAGCGTATCAGTATATGTGGTATAAGATCCATTATTGAATCTCTTCCAATAACTTGAATTATTGAAGTTTGTGACAAGTCGTCAATACTCAATGTATAAAAGCAACCAATCATGTCAAAAAATTTAGTGGGGGAGGTTTGTGATGCTAATAATCCCTTGATTGAGGGTACGGTTAGGATTTCTTAAGTGCCTTCTACGCCAGAGAAAAGCCCCAGAGTCGATGGTTTTTGGCTCTGCAGCAAACATAGATGCGCCTGCCAAATGTAGTAGTACTGCTGCTTTCTTTTTGGCTAGACTTCCCAGCAAAGTATTCAGTGTAAAATCATCATGATGGAAAAAACCCACCCTTTCCCTAGCTATAGCTATCATGATACCCCCTACTCCAAGGAAACCAAAGCATTGGGAAAGGAATGGAAAATGGATCAATGGGATCTGCCCTCTTTTTGCTAATCCAACACTAACTTATGTTCATTGTTTCATTAAAAGCACCATCAATTCGTGTTTAGCCAAATCAAGCAAAATTGTTCCATACAGAAGCATCTATAATATGCACAGTACTATACTGCTTCTTCTCTTCAACCGAAATGGCAGCAGACATTTATGAACGCAAAATCCAATCAGCAGCTTCAATTAGATCACTACTGTTCATCGGCAGTTGTATATAATATGTGTCATTTCTACATGCACTGTATAATTGCCACAAATGTAGTACGTTCCAATATCACTCTCCTACATATCTCATAATAAGTAAACTGGTGCTAATAACTCGAGAACTCGAGATGTTGGAGACCGATTAATGTATTGTACTTAACCACTTTCTTACACGTCCGCTCAAATAAGGTCAACTTGTGAGTTTGAAGTTTGCACAGGTCCACCATTACTAGGTGCTTTAACACAACAGTTAATATTGACGAGGGTCTTGAGAACATGAACAGTGGCCTCAAAGCAAGGATGGAAATAACGTACTGGTGGTTGTACCGGAAAAGTCAACGATATGGTATTTTATACTAAAACTGTGGTTCACCCGCTTCATTATCACTATATACTGCTATTGGTTTTGCCTCCTGTAGGAGTTTTTTTTTTTTGTGGTAAAACCACTGGTACAGTACGGTATTTTAATCATTGCCTCAAACACAAATCAGCTCTTATACCATGTCATAAACCAAATTGTCTCAATAACTCGAATTATTGGGAGTAATTCCTGTATGGTACTTAACCACATTTTTTACAATGTAGAAGTAACATTGATGAACAGAGAGATGAGACCAAACTGGTACTAATTAATTATGAACTTACTTAATTAGCAGTAAATAATAATGACATAACATAGAGTTAATGTTATATATGATGATCATCATATCCCTTAAGATGTTTATTATTTACACGAAGCTTTTCTAGATCATCAATAAGAATGGCTTAAGTACCTCTCCCTTCTCCCCCCCGATTCTCCATATATATGAACAGTGATCCATCAATCGATCATAGTATATATGCATGTATAACAATATGGTAGTAATTAAATATATATCTTAATATAATATCGGGACCGAAATATCCACCGTCGGATCTTCTGATCATTTCCACAGATCGATTTGACAGCTCCCAGTAGTTGTAGTAGGGCTGGAGGTCGACGGCGCCGCCGCATTATCAACATTCCCGCTGCCGCCGGGCGGCGGCGGCTGCGCTTGATCATCATGGCTAAGTTGGGACGCGACGAACTTATCAAGCACCCTCCAATCCGTCACCGAATCCACCACTCCATCTTGCTGCTGCTTCTGGACAAGATCACCGCCGTCGTCGATTCCAAAGATGGACCTCAAGCTTTGGTGGTGATGCTGACGTGAAGAATGCAACGTGTTCACGTCTAGACCGTAGGATGACGATGGTGGTGGCGGCGGCGGTGATGAAGTGGCCGGAGGTGGGGTTTGGAGGAGCGGGAGCTGGAGGAAGTATTGGTTGGGATCGTGGGGGAGGGATGGGAAGAGGAGATCGGCGGTGGGAAGATGCTCTTTCTTGGTGGTGGTGGTGGTGTATGGGAAGCCGCCGTGGTGGTGGTACGGTGGCGCCGGCGGCGGAGGCTGGTGGGAGAGGGAGTTGGGGGAGTCGAGGTTTTCTTGCATGAAGCTGGAGGAGAGTTGGTCGTCGTACCAGCAGAGTGAGGAGTCGTGGTCGCTGCTTATCTTTCTCATTGCTGTGATCTTCTTCTTGAAAACACGACATACCACCCACCCTTCTTCCTGTATGATTTTTCCATTGTCCATTGATCGAAATCAATCAGTATAAGCTTCAAATAACATTAGATTCGTCCCATTACCTTAGAGTAGTTAAGCTTAGTGTCAATAATTGAAATTCCGATATTAATTAACATTTAGTTTTAGTGACAATGAAATGCTGATAGGCAACGAACTTCTAAGTCACGTGAGCAAACTATCGATGATGCGTATACAAGGAAAAAAAATATATGATGTCATCTGCGACAATAATTTTCCAAAAACTCAAGCTATTGACATGACTTGATTGATCGGAATTTAACATAGCTTCATTATTGACATGATATCAGAGTTCTTTATGATATTAGAATCCTGATAATCTCTAGCTACCATTTTAATTGATAGTGCTTAATTACCGCTTTGTTATAACCACTTCCTTATATTTTCGAGATAAGTTGTATGAGATTAATTAATTGTCTATGGGCGTATAACCGTGTATATATATATCACAAATGAGTACGAATCAAGCACTTTGATAAAACAATAGTTATGCGATAATAGGACTGGATATGATCCGACCTAACAGATAATCATATCAAATTCGGAATATGAGTATGACCAGATCAAATTTAGCAAAAAAAAAAAAAAGCATTATCCATAAAAAAATATAGTAGAAAAATGACTCTCGTTCAAAGTTGAAAACAAAAAGCACATTTGGTAAAATTAGATTGGATACTAAATTCAATTCAGTTAAGAGTTTTGCATGTATGAAAGTATGAAACCAAATCGTTGCACATCCATATCCGAAAACATAGTTAAATTTGTAGTTAATTATTGTGTTACCAAATCGGCGTGACATTCCAATTCCCATGTTCTTTTTTTTCTTGGGTACAAATAGAATTCCTTGTTTTGTCCTCGGGTGAAGAGTAAATTGAAGTAGTTTATATCCTAGGAAGCAATATACATAGGCAGTTATATCAGTTAAAAAAAAAAACATAAGCACACTTGCCTGGGGAGCGGCGTTCTCGTCGGTCTCGAGGCGGTACTCGTGCATGATCCAGTCGGACTTCTGGCCATTTGGAGCACGACCCTTGTAGAAAACAAGGGTCTTCCGCATCCCGATCAGCTCGTTCTTCGTGTAAATGGCCTTGTCCCTCCCCGTCGCTTTCCAGAACCCGGCCGTCGTCGCCCTGTTGGTCCTCGTCCCCGTCGGGTACTTCTTGTCCTTGTGGCTGAAGAAATACCACTCGCTCTGCTCCTCGCTCCCTATTATTCTGCACAGCTCTGCATGCCAATAATGACGATCATCGTATAAAGTTAACACACAGCCATGGTCAAAGGTGGTTTGAGTTTTTGTATAAGTTAGTAAAATTACCTTGAAGGTCCCACGGCTCGATCTTGTAAAGGTCGACGTCTTTGATGACGTCCAGGTCGATCCTCCGGGAGTTGACTTTCTTCCTGAGGTAGTAGTCAACGAGCTCTTCGTCCGTCGGGTGGAACCGGAACCCAGGTGGGACTGCGCAGAACGTGCTACTAGTGTTGTTCATCCTGATCGATCTCGCTTTCTTTGACTGACCAGCTGTGGTCGTTCTACTTCAACTGCAAGGTCAAACACAACCGATATATAGTAATATGGTCAAACCATGACTACTAGCATTGATGGATGGGAATCATCGCAACTGTAATCAACAAAATGGACGGAATGAGGAGGGGAAAGATAATTAGTGTTGTATGAGAAATCGACAATACAATAAAAGTAAAGAACCTACAGATTTATGTTATATTATGTGATTGCGGTTTATGTGCGATACAGATTACAGAGAAAAAAAATGAAAGATTCATATATAACATTTTCTCAAGTCTCAACACACCGTGATTGCTAGAGTAGCTAGGGTTGACCAGTGAGAAATCAAAGATAAATGGGAGTTTGATATATTCTTTTTCTTCTTCTTCTTGATGTTTATGGAGGGGAAATGAAACAGGTCACATGTTAGTACCATGATGCCGAAACCACTTTTATGATGAACCCCCACAAAATTATTATTACTACGGTGATGGAGAGTCTTCCACTATACATGGACATAGAAAGAGAGAAAGAAAGAAAGGAACATGGCTTTATCATCATCATCAACAACAACAATATTTCTATGAATATTATGACAAAGGAAGAGATGGGAAAGGAATAATATAGATGTAGAAATTAACAGTAAGAATGTTGTTGACCCAATCAAAGCATAAGTTGAAGAACCACAGCCAATAAATTAAATGCAGCCCTAATTATTATGCCGTGGTCATTTTACAAACTATAATGCTTGTTGCCTTCACATCCGACCCAAAGAGAGAGAGAGAGAACATATGTGAGATATAACAAGAAGAAAGTATTACGTACCGATCGGCCGGCCGGGCAGCGAAAACCACCGGAGGCGGGGCTGGCTGGCTGGCCGGATGGATCCCACGTACGTCGGCGGTGAAGCTTTTTTCTAGGTATAGATCGAGACAAGAGCATAAAAACCAAGGCTACAAACCAGCCCCCCGGTGTAGGTTTTGATGAGATATATCTAGATCCTCGGGAATTGAACCCCGTCCAAAAAAACCAAACAACCGCTTTCTGGGAAAAAGGGGGAAGAAAGCAAAAAGAACAAGCGAGCACGGCGACTGCCTACACTGTCGGCTTGTCTGCTCAAATCCCCAGAGGAAGACTGATAAAAGTTGGCCAAGCCGCGGAAAGCCAAATTAAAGAAGAAGAGAAGATAATAACCAGCACAAGAATGAGGAGGAAAAAAAGAGAGCAGAACAGAACAAGCTGTAGCTAGCTAGGAAACCCTAACAAGCAAAATAAACACCTGTCAACAGAGGATCAGGATATGAGGTACGAGATGGAGTGTGGAGATGAACATTTCGTTGTCAGTGTTTCATCATCCAATGCTTAACGGGTGGACAAGGAATGAAGCTAAGCGCTCTCTAGCTGCAGCCAGGGAAAGCTAATTAAGTTCTTTGTTATTGCCACGGGCGGGACTCCTTCAATTCCTTCTTTCACCCGCCGCTGAAAGTGACTCTCTTTTAAGGGGGAATTAAACAAAAAGAAGCAACACAATTACTACTAGAGATGGATGTTGATGATCATCATCATCATGATTCAACTCCATTCTCTCTCTCTCTGCGCCGTTGTTGTTGGTGTGTTGCATCAAAGAGATGGGGGTGACAGCTGCTGTAGCGGAGACTGATGATCATAATAACACCATCGATGGCAAACCAGAAGGAGGAGAGGAAAAAAAACTCGAGTGAGAAAGAGAGATGGGAACTGACTAATCACCACTACCAAAGCTTCACTTCACTTCTTATATATGAACAGCCTATGGTAATGCTATCTTTGGGCCGAGAGGCATAAGAATAAAGAATGACACCATAAGTCTGAAACTGTGAAAGAGAAGATGTGGTGGTGGTGGTGGTGGCCGGTGGGAAGGGAATTGGTTGTGATGACGTAATGGAACAGCTACCAGCCAAAAAGCTACACCACTTTGTTCTTTCCTTTTTATTTCATTTTTTTTTAATATCAAAGTTGAGAAAGTTTGAACCCTACCAGAGATTTAGTATTATGTTCAAATCAACTAACAATATCGAGATTAATGTGTGGGATGTATGTATAGAGAGCATGTTATTAGGGAAATTTGGATTCATATTACAAAACTCTTCTTCCTCCTGATTGATTTGGAGGGCGGAAAAAAAGAAGAAGACCTAAGTTGGGGAATGATTTGGAACTCATGGAGGCCTCATGCTGGATACGAGCGGTTTCATTGAAACTCGAGGACATTTGAATGCGTAGTTCGATGGATTTATAAACGTAGAGCACGTAGATCTATGTTGGCGTTCTAGGTATGGAGATGTCAACAGACAAAAAAAATATAGTGACAAAAATATGTCGAAGGATGAACCTGCATGAGTGTGGAAAACGAGTAATCTAAACCTCTACAATTTTCTTCTATTCACTTTATCATCGGAGAGTCTTTTCAATTTCAAATATCGACACATTCTTGAACATAACATTTTTCTCACGCAAAACGTGTGGACCACCCATCTTCAATTCATCACTCTTTTACTAAAATTTCAACCCAAATTTCTTAGCATTAACCCAAGTACTGATAAATTATAACCAGACAAAAACACAACCAATACAATATTCCAATAATTAAAAAAAAACCCCACTAAAACTAAACCTTATAGTTTTCTCTCCCTAGCTCACAGTGAATATATATTTACTTATTTCGGAATAATAGCTCATCCTAACTGGTGCAATAACCATCTTCACATATATTGATCAAAAGGTAAAGAGTAGATATGCCAAAATCAACTGCACCAACTTTTGCCTCCAACAATAATCAACATGATTCAATATCATTCCTCTTTATGTTGGATGGCTGGATGGTTGTGGGGTACTTTGATTTGTGCAGCTGAATGTGGAATGGTGGCCCCCCATATACCCAAAAACTCCATTCCTAGTCCCAACCCATTCTCCCTTCTTCCATTTCACTGTTGTGTGTGTGTGGTAGATTCAACATGATGGTGTTGGATCAACTAATCCACCATGTGTTAGTAAGTCATACCACGATCTATAATCGAACTTCTTCCAACAACTCGATCGAGTTAGTGGGTTAACTGATTCTTGATATTATTAGAGCCTTTTGTGACTGAGAGTTATTATGTTGTTCAAATCCCGGTAATCCCATATGTTAAGCACATGGTATTTGGAGTTGTGCTAATTAACTTCCATTCCATATATGGTGATCCTCGTATGAGAGAATGGGTATTAGTAATAAGCGATATATAATTCGTAACTGAATCTCACACAATAACCCGAATTATTAAAACCAACCGGTTCTTTCGCAGCATGTCGAAAACAGTACTCTCTGTGCTCAACTCCTATACTCAGTGATTATTAGTTTGCTCTCTTTGTCAAATTTGAGCTTCTCAACGCATTTGTAGCCCGGCCATAGTATAATTCATTAGCCCTGGGCTTAGCTTCTCATTACCCTAGCCAGCCATTCATCCAATTAAAATATATACTGTCTGAGGGTGAAACAGAGATTGGGTGAGGTTAATCATTTACCTCATTATATATTTCATCTGCCTTCACTAACATTCACCCCCCTTTTTTTCATTATTACATCTACTCTGATCATAAAAAGTTGGATCGATTAGATTGATGCTCATTTATTAGAGCGCCATGATTGAATCACAAGGCGAAATTACAATGGAAAAGTGTGATTAGTTTGGTGGGTTTGTGAAAATTGGCTCTTCTAGATAAGCATGTTAATTAGTACTACTGCAAAGTAACAGAAACCCTAGTGTTGAAATATTTTCACTGACGTGGGGATGAGGTCTTTTGTAAATTGAGATCAGCTCGTGTGCCTCAGGATCCTGAAGTAGAGGTTTCTCTTAGAGCTTTGCTCTTTTCTCTGTTGTCAAATCACAAATGTATGTTGGTGATTATTATCAGCTTCCATACTATGAAACTTCCATATGAACAGTTAGGTTTGTAATACTAGTTGGACTCAGTTTGGGAGAATCCGAGTATGAATTCATTGATGCTACCAACTCTCTTTGAGCGATTCTCTCTTCGCCCATTCTATAAATAAAAAAATGACTCGTTATAACTCCTTAACTAAGCAAAAAGAAAAAAATTCCTCGAATAGTCAGGAGCTAAATCTACCAACTTGTTGTACTATATCATTAACTAATTTAAGGCCTCCAGAATTCAAGCACCAGCAAGCTCTCTGAAGACTCCTCTTACTCCATGGATCAAACAACATTGTCCCTTGATCAAGCGCCAAATCTATCAAGTTGTCACTGTACTATATCATAAACTAAGAGGTCCAAATGCAAATATTAAGCATGGTCAAGGTACTAAATCATATATTATTCCACACCATTCTGTTACTTTTTTTTTTTTGCTTCTTCTATTGCTACCTAGCTCGTGACTCATACGCTTCCCCGTTCCACTCCCCACACCTCTCTCATCATTGCGATTCATAACCCCGTTTTAATATATTCCGTTCTGTCCCACAGAGTGCTTTTTCATCAGTATTCACGGGGCTTAGCAGCTCCTTCACCGTAACGCCGTTCCGTTGGTCCAGATTTCGGCAATTAAAATAAACACGAGTCCATAGTCCAAAAAGGACGAAGCGCGTCCAGGTGTCGGCCTCCAATTGGATCCTTGCCTCAAAAGCGACCGAGCTTTCAATCGAGTTCAAGCAGACCGACCAATCGGCGTTCTCGACAAAGACAGCCCTCCAAACCATCGGGAAGAGGCTTCAGCAGAAAGTCCGCGTGAAGTGATTCAAGTTACAAATATCATAATATATCAAAGTGTTTATCAAATATGGTGATTAGGTTTGGAAGGTTATAAAAGATTCTAATATATAAATTAATTAGTTTCAATAAATTGAGTTGTTAAGAGAGATTCACGTACAAATGTTAACTGTATCTGGGCACCCGACTTGCACGAAACGACATCGTTAGAGCACATGACTAGCACAGACACAAAATGTATGGGTCATTCGAGCATGTATACTATATGGGCCGTGCCGGACATCAACTTCATGGGCACTGGCACGATACAGTCAATAAGCAGTCGTGCCGCGGGCTTAATATTTTTGAGATCCTATCGAATATATAACTATGATATGACAAGAAAAAAATACATCTTTTGTAGAAAATATTTATAAAAAATTATAAGTTCAAATTTTACAAAATATAACTGCAAAATGATTATTTATTGTTGCTAGAAGTGATCATAAATATATTATATGTAATTACTACCTTCAAAATAATTTATCGAACAATTAAAAAACAAAACACGCGAATACCAAATTACACCTGCTATACTTCCACGTTTCATTGTCCCGTTATTTGTTAGTTTTATAAAAAAAAGAAATATCAATCAATACTTTCATTCTCTATTCAATTTTCTCAATTCTTTTTCATTCCATCATTTTATTTTCTTCTTTCTCATTAAGCACGAATATGAGCACGAGCAAGCATGGTACGATTCAAACGAGACACGGCATATATCTAACAAAATTTAAAAAATGCATTTGCAAGACATGAAAACTAACAGATCATCATGTCAAGCACGACACAAGATAAATGAACTTGAAAAGTGCTCCGTGTCTTGCACACCCAACGTCCATGTACAATCTGTAATAAAATGATTAAATATCATACACGGGTCTCTCCCAACAACTCAAGTTATTGCGATCCGTTGGTTCATGACACAAACTGATCAACCCTTTATTAACAACTCAATCGGTTCAGTTATTTGCGCGGATCCATCCCGGCGGAGGAGAAGAAGGTTCGGGTCGTTGTTTTTCCGACGGTGGGTGGGACCCGTCGGCGACCGCCGATCGTGAAATGATTGCCTCGTTTTAGAGCTGTGGGGGGAGACGAAGTGTGTGTTTGTGTGTGTACGTGGCGGGTTGCGGTCCGGCGTGGGCTAGCCATTATCATTGAGCTCGCAACTTGCTGCTGCTGGTGGTGCCGAGCTGTTCTCACCGTGGGTCCCGCCGGCGAGCGGACCAATGTGGTTGTGGCGACTGGGCGAGCCGACAAGGCCCCCCCGTCCCGTTTCTTGTTTAGGGTTTTTCCGATCGAATGAAGAGCGGCACGTGAAATTTTAGCCTGTGTGTGGGGAAATAATATGAAACTGGCCGGGGGGCACTTTTTTGACTTTGTGGCTTCTAGAAATATTAGTGCAACGGAATTATTATGAGCGTTAACAACTTATCATTAGTGTCTCCAAAGGCTACCGCCACGCTTATATATTCTGTTGCTGCCGGAAATTAAAAAAAGGTGACAAACAACAGTTAATAATGTTAAGTAATCCAGTAGCTATAGGTACGTGGCCTGGTAGCATTAGAAAGGAAGAAAGGAGGTTGTTAATAATAAACGAGTATTCGATATAGACCAAGGAAAGAAAATGAAACGGTTGTTTATAAGATTTTTTTTTTTTGTCAATAGATTACTCATTAGAAGAGAAAATATTCAAAAAGATACAAAGAAGTAACAGCAGTGGAGCTATATATCTAATACGTAACCAAGAACAGAAATCAAACCCCCCTTAACGAGCAAGGTGATAACGTCGGAACTTGACGGGCCACAAAATGAGCCGTTCTGTTCCTATTTCGACCCACAAAGTACAATCTAATCCCAACTATCTCATCCATAAGTACATGAATCTCCCCAAGGAGAGCAGATGATGAGCTGACTGACCGGATTGCAAGTGGATCACGTGAAACCTTTATTTAATTATGTGATTCAAT